TTTGTACTACAGAATTGTAGATCTTTACCAAAAAATAAAATGATCTGCATTACACAAGTTTGAAAAATCCCTGACTGCATTGACGTTAGCATCTGCTCTTATATATGAATTCCGTCAAGAAGAACCTGTCATCAGACTTTCAATTATATTTCGTTCCTGATCAGCACGTATTAACGTGACATACAATACATATCTGATCGAATTTGTAATTGGCGAAATATAGTTAAAAGCCTGATGGCGATATTTGAATCAATTTTCTTATTCAAATAATTTATTCGCGAGGCATTTCGATTGGTTAAAACTGGAACAATTATTTATGAGACGATTTGTTACATAATGAAATTACAATTGGTACTCACGTATAAGACATCGTATACATCGTATGAGCATAATGGAAGTACGTTTTTATTGGCTATTTATTTTATATTAAAAAGCAGGTTTTTATATTAGCAGTTAGTTTACAATAGAAATTTTTATCTAAATAAGATGTAGTTAAAGTTTTATAATCAAAGCCGCTTAAAATTTTGTCGGATTATTTTTTGGATGCTTAACTTTTTTATAAACGTTAGAGATCACGTATTTGTTATCGCTATATTTTTTATTATATTGGGCCTAACGAAAACAACAATAGATGCGAAACAGATTTTCGATGGTTTAATGATGGTCCAATGTCAAAAAAATTAACTATGGCTTGTAAATATTTATTAATATTTTTTTACTGTGTTAGATTATCAATTTGTGTAATTCCCAATATGTTAATTTTTTTCTAGTACGCAAAATGATTGAATCAAGAGGTGCGGTTGGTATTGTAACACCCCTAATTCACAATATATTAAAGAATCATCCTTCTCTAACCAATCTTCAAGATGAATATAAAGAACTACCTTTTGGAAGTTGGGCTGGAAGGTTGGTTTTGCTTCTTTCGTTTCACGAATTTATTCACATTTACATGCTACGTAATAATATATTATCATTATTACCAGGTTAGGTGAAATTGCTAATGAAGAATGCTTGGTATGTATCATGATTATCGTTATCAAAATCATATACGTATCATTTTTAAACATTTATAACTAAATTTTTTTATAGGTTGGAGCGTTAAGTGGGCTTTCTGCCGAATTATCAACGATCATGGATGTTAGTCAAGAAGAATATACCAATATTCTAAAATCACTTGGCGATGAAATGACCAATTATAAAGCATTCTCTCGAAATCACAGAATTTACGCACGTAAATTTTGATTTGGTGTTACGTCAACTTTATCCTTATTTAGTTTGGTATTTACTTTGAACAGGTTTTATTGTATGCCACAACTTTTTTAATTTCCCATAATATAAACATTATAAAACAAAAAAAAAAAAAAAAAAAATTGGGAATAACCTAAGATATTTTATACGAGAAAACAAATGCACTACAATATCTGTTAATTCTTTTTAGAATATTAACAGATTGATATCTAAGAATTTAACATATATATTTGTTATCAGTTTAGGTTAAATTGAACTAGACGATTAACCAAAAAAAAAAAAAAGAGAGAGAGAGAGAGAAAAAATTCATGATGTTTTAGTTTGGATCTTAGCCTAAGCTATATTGTACTGCAAATTATATATATCGAAATTGTAAAACTGCCATGGATTTAGCAATATTATTATCATTAATGTATATCTGATGTTGCCGACTAGTTTATAATTTTTAAAAGAATAAGATAACTTTTAAAAGACTTTAAATGTAGTCTACGACTTTAATCAGTGCTCTCAAATGACCGAATTATTAATTTATATATATATATATATATATATATTGTATATTATACGTAGTATAATGAACTTGTAAATTAATTAATATTTAAGCCTTCTAAGTTCAATAACTTTAAAAATGTCTTATAAATGGTTCAAAATGCATATGGAAGTTTGTTTTTATTGGATGTTCTACACAAATTCTGACTGGCCAAAATTAAAGATTAACACACGTTATTTCTTAAATCTAATACTTTTATAGCAGACGCACGATTTGTCACGCAGATCATGTGTGCAAAATTTTTACTATGGGGTCAAATGATCGACGCACCTAAATTT